GTTGTAATGCACAATCTAACATAATATCAGTGTGAATATCTCATTCATGTGAGGCATAAATGAATTACTTAACCCATAAATTGCCTACAAATCTCTTCTCTCCCTAGATTGTAAGGGGCTACAAATTAGGCATTAAGATAAAGACAACATTTTCCCCTCTGTTCTGACTATTTATCGCAAGGTTTACATCATAATTGAGTGACTTCTATTCTGTCTGTAAAGACCATGTTGTCTATGTTGTATTTAAATTATCTTTGGTGCAAAATGTTTCAACCAGTTTGGTTTTAATTTTCCTTTGTATTCTTCAGCATACTTTGAAACAAAGGAGATTAAAAATCAAATTGGTTGGAAAAATTTCAACCCACAACAAATTAAAGCTACAAAACAATAAGAATTGATTCATCTAAGGTATTAATTCCCAGTCAACAAGTAAATTCACGACAATTAAGAATATTTGAATGTAGAAGCTTGGTATTATCAATTCCGTTGAAAAAAAACAGAGATGTCATAACAAAATAGCTTTTGCAGGAAAACTGTGGATGACAGGGTCAACCAGATGTAGCTGTTCACAAGACTTCACAATCACTGTTGTTATTTGCCAGACAATTTCAATTGAAAAGCTTTGCTTACGCAAACTTAATAAAATATTCAAAGTAATAAGAAAGCAGTTTCTACCCTTGTTCGGCCCAGAAACTAAGTTTCGTATGTAGTCATGCACTCGCTTCACCGCGTCTCCACAACATTTAAGCCAAAATTTAATCTCTGAGGTTTTTAACTCCTCAGGTTTTCTTCTGAGAAGAGAAGCGCCAGGTATATTGTTTTCCGTAAGAAATGTCGGATTTTGAAATATTCGAAGTGCTCGCCATAACAAACGAAGAGAGACGCGACACGATAGGTTGGCCTTTCAGACCTCGTTTTCATGCAACTCGATCCAGGACTCTCGCGATATCCGCCATTATGAAAGTCGTGTATTGAACAGACTTATCGAAAGCGTTTTTACAGGACTGAAAACTTCGCTACAACGAAAAGTTGTTGGACAGAATTCAGAAACTAAATGAATGAAAGTTCCATCGATCAATTCAACTGAAAACAAATATAACACCGTTTTAACTCTCTGAGTTACTTTTTGTGAAGCTTTAGAGTTAATTGAAAACTTCTTTTAGGCCGCGTGTCAACCCATTTAATGACACATATGCTACCATAAATTCATTTCGAAAATAATTTTCTGCTGACAACCACAGATTGTGACAGGTACTTATAAAACAAATGTTTTGAGTTTGCTAAGAATCTTTTCAAACATTCAGTCCATTTACCCCTCTATCTGCCAACCTATCAATAACAAACTTCAACGACGGCATATGGACATTGGCAGAAATAAAGAGGTCATCCGTTCGACCCTGGCCAAACAATTTTTCCAACTCATCCAAAATTTCCGAAGTTGCCGCTATTGTATGTTCGAAGTCGGTCCTGACGACTGCATCACACTTTTTTGCTCGGATCCGCTTAACCTCGCTCCTCCCTGGAGAATACTATTCATATTTCCCAATTTTTTCGCTCGTTATCAGAGTTACCGTTGCTTTTAAATGATTCCTATTTTACTAAACGTTTGACAGACCGTGTTAAATTACATTATCAGTGCATAATGAATTCAGCGTTGGATCAGAAAAAATAATCTCTGAAAACGTTCTTTCGTTGGAAAGGGATTAAATAGTTCTCTTGATGGCCATGCAGGCCTTATAATCATCTTTGTAAGGTAGGAATAGATGCTTTATTTCCAAGAGAATAATAATAGAAATTTTACTAATTATTATCAACGGCGATTTTGAGACAAGTAAACTCAGGAACCAAGAGATTTTGCTTAAAAAAAAAAAAAAAAAACCAAGTAGTGATTAAAAAAGTGCACTCTCCTAACGCGATGATAAGCCGATTAAACATCATTGTAATTAAAAACTTTTTCAAGTGATTATCAAAGAAAAATTAGTAAAAACACTTGAGAAGTTGTTATCGAGAAATTTCAGCCAAGGTAAAGTGAGTTTTTTCCTTTATCCGACCTGTTCCTTATATTTATGAACTTTCTTCACCTTTCGAGGTACGAATTTCTACATTTTTTTATTCAGGCACTACAGTTAAATCTAACCATCAGTTAATCAATTGAAATTATTTCGTCCGTTGCCTTTGTTGTATATATCGATGTATGATAGACAGCGAGTATCTAAATGCATGCGACTGTAACGCTTAATCAAATATTTCACGGAATGTCTTGAAATAAACATGCGCGCAATTACAAAGTCAATTAGTGCTGAGGGGGTTGTGGGTATCTGAAAGTGTTATCACGTAATCTTTGTGTTCTCACGGATGAGGAAATTAAGATGATGGCTCTTGGAATATAAATACCAATACTCAATTCTTCCTTAGCCACACGTTGCACTCAATTGGCCGGAATGAATTTTGGTTTTATCTCATATTTGATCACATTTCTTGGTGTGATTCACTTCTCAGGTAAGTCACTGTCTTATAAGCAAGTTGAATAAGTTGCCGTGGGAAAGGAATATTTACTGTATTGGACAATCAAACGGTTTGGTCCTACATTATACCGAACTGACAGACTACAGAAAATACACTGAATATACCGCCTTTATCTTGTGATAAGGTCGCATTTATAGTGTTCAATCGTCGGTAAATTGACAAAGCCAAGTAAACAAATGATCAGTAAGGGTCAGACTTATCGAAAGCTGAACACATACACTGAAACTACTGAGGGTCCTCTTGTCTGAAATTAACTTAAGCTCGCTCTTGGATTACACATTAATGTCGACCTTTTTTCTTTTGGATGTAAAGCATCATAACTGTTGACGTAGTCGATCATTACGTTAACATTTTATGTGGAAGAGTTATCAATTATTATAGTTACGATTGATCGCGCTAGAAAACCCAAAATTTATGCATAAGTGCTTTTAAAGGAGTGATCATGTTTTCCGTGTCACGCTATCGAGTGAATAGGAAGCACTAACCTTACTTTAGGAGAAGGAAGCTGGTTTACATCATAACAAGATTAATTAATTCAGACATCCCCATGAGGATATGCAATTAATATGAGAAACGAGCTCCACGATGAGCGATTGCCGCGAAATTCTATTATTTGCCCATGAGTGCACGTTGCTGACGTAGGAACCGAACAGGTTTAAAATAGGTCATGATTCACTAGACTCGCGTATCAAAACAACTGCGCTGGAAAAAGCTGTCATAGTTCCAAGTTGTTGTACAACTTGTCATAGTCTAAACAACGGGATTTCATAAAGATTAGATTAATCCCAGTATTCAAGAGAATTCAAAAGCTTATGGCTCTCCCTTGTTGCGTAAAACGGTAGACGAAAGACAATGATAATTTTGAGCATGTGCCTTTGTTCAGAATTTCGTAAGATTACGAATGACAATACTAGAGTTGATGATCTTTCAAAATATGTAGAGTTTAGATTGGGGAAATGAATTTGGGATTTTTACATTTTTTTTATGAGTTTAAAGATTACAAATGTGAAAAGTGAGCTACGAAGAGTTCGTCGAAAACTGAGCTGGTTTTGATCGTGACTGTAGCGGCGGGCTTCTCTGTTCATGATAAACCACACGAATGAAATTAAACAAACGGTAAAATAAAGCACGTTGAACATTCGAAAATATCATATCCAAGTTGAGGTTAGTATATTTGCATTGCTCTTTACGCTTTTTGAGTTGCCAGGATTTCTAAAACAAAAACGATTTTGTTTTTGTTAATGGCCACGCATACACAACATGGCGTGATTTTATGTATTTCGTTGACGATTTTCAACAAATTCTTAAAAATCCCACATTCATTTCCCCAAAGTAAACTTTTCATAATTTGAAAGATTGTTAACTCGGGTATTGACACTTTTAATCTTGCGAAATTCTAAACAAAGGCACACGCTTAAAATTATTGTTAATTTTCGTCTACCGCCATAACTTATTTACTTCTCTTAAATACTCAGATAAATCTAATGTTTATGAAATCATGGTGTTTAGACAATGGCAAGTTATACTACAAATGGCTCTTATCGGAGTTGAGCACGCGAAATCAGCGGTCTCCGGATGAGCTTACGCCGAAACGAGGTTATCGGGTCTAGCTCGCTCTAAAGTACAAGGAAGCAGAGAGGGAAATTAGTAGTAGCTTGGTATTTACATAATATTTTCTCGAGTTTTTAGTTTCTTTATCCATGGTGAAACATTGCATAGCTTTTGGGTGTCAAAACCGAAGTTCCAAAACGGAATGCAAGGACTTATCATGGCATTCGCTGCCGCTGTCAAACAAGAATTTGCTGGCACAATGGCTCGTGAAACTGCGTCGAGAGAACACTCCGGTAAACAAAAACACTTATGTCTGTAGTCAGCATTTTGAAGCTAATTGCTTCATAAAACCAATGGGAGGACAAAGAATTCGCTTGAAGCCAGATTCCGTACCGACAAAGTTTATATTTACTGTTGAAAAACAAAGAGGAAAGAGCCCGCTGATCGAGCAACGCTAAACACAAAGAAAACAAAAATAGAGAAATCGCAGCAGCATTCAGCCCCCGAACCGATAAACATTGAAAACACCGATTTTAAATCTGTTTCAGATGGTTTGGAAACTGAACATCTCGAAAGTGAAGGTTTATTTCAAATTGTAGATGAAAACTGGGAACATCAACTTCAGTTAAAGAATGACGAAATCTCCTGTTTACTTGAGAAATGGCAAACTAAGGAGCGCGAACTGAACAAAAAAATACAAGAGCTGGAGAATCAACTTGAAGAAGAAAGAAGTGCCAGAAAGGAGCTGGAATTATTAATCGAGAAGAAAGCCTTCAGCATCGAAACTGTAAAGGAAAATGATAAATTATTAAGATTTTACACTGGATTTGAAAACTATGAAGTGTTTTCAATGGTTCTTGACTTTCTGGGGAGGGAGACAGCTGATCACTTGGACTACCAAAACACGGAAAATTTAAGAGAAATCAAGCACAAATATAAACCTGGGCCAAGTAGGGCTTTGAATATCGAAAATGAATTTTTTCGTCGTCGTCCCGTGCGATTTCCAGTTTTTGGATATGACCATGTCGAAACAAACCGAAAGCTTTGCTGCTGACATTCTTGAAATCTTTGTTGGATTCATTGTCTTTAGCTTTTCTTTCAATAAAGTAAGACACGATATTCTGAATATTAAATGAAGGGACATCGTCCTTCGCGTCAACCGGCGAAACCCATTGTGCAGATCCAGGGAAATCACAATTGACGGTCGCCGTTTGCTCCAGTGGTTTACTTGCCGCCAAGTGTTGCCACTTCTCCGTAAAATTATTCTCCCAACCATTTTTTATATAACTGATGACCCTGCGGCAGGTAAAACAAATCGATATAGAACTTATGCTTCGATATTCCCTTCAAGCAATGGCAATAATTATAAGGGACAAAAAATATTGCAATCTGTGTACCTTTGAGATAACTCAGCCTTCGTTGCTTCAGACCGTGCACTACCATCTTTAGCCGTCCCTTTGCGGAATGACAACCATTCTTTGAGTTTTTCTTTAGTAATATGCCGTGGGCAATTACCACTTATCAACTGCACTTTCTCCTCAGCGGAAAAAAAGGCCGCTTGTGGAAGATTTGTGGAACACTCCATAAGTTTTCCTCACTTTCTCACACAAATCTGATCGATGTTGACCCGATAGCCTCGCTTTGATGTTTACTCACAAGAATACCGCTGGATTGTTTAGGTGGCGTGCTCAACTCCGATAAGAGCTATTGGAACTATGACAGCTTTTCCTAGCGGAGTAGTTTTGACACGCGAGTCGAGTGAATCATGATTAATTTCAACTCTGTTTTGCACGTGTTTGGGATCGCCAAATTGTGCTTAAGTTGAAAACGGCTTCCAACGTTTTTCTCCGGAATTAACAGATATTTCAAGGAAAAAACTACATGGCATTCATATACTTACTAAAGGCTATCTATGTGCAAAAGACAAGTAAATTTTGTTTTTCAGCTTTGCCGAAGATTTGAGATTTCGTCTGATTCTTGCCACTATACTTTATTTCATGCATATCATTTTGCCATCTCCACCCGCAAATAGCAAAAGCTAGACGAGGCAGGCGGAGAGGAAAGGTTACAGCAGTCATAACAGATAATATAATAATTGTAAAGTAACTAAATAAACTATCTGGATAAATAAGAACTACTGAGAAAAAAAAAAAAAAAAAAAAAAAAAAAAAAAAAACAAAAAAACAAAAAAAAAAAAAAACAAGCTAAAGTTACAAAATATATAGTCTTACAGAATGATATTACAATCAAATTTACTACTAACAGAACTATCAATTATATACATTGAGTCGAGGATGCAGAATTTGCCATTTTTTGTAGGAGAATGGGCACTTCAACATAATCGTCCTCTGCTTCCATTATCGAGAGCAAAAAGTCATGAAAATTTTTCTTAAAAGCTCCTTTGGAGAGTTGACGAAATTCGTTAGGAATTGCGTTCCAAAGTTTAGCTCCAAACCTGGAAAAAGAATCTTGATTTAAATTCAGTCTTGAAGTTTGAACATAATAATTTCCAGACGAAGAAAACCTGGTCTCATGCCTGTGCTTTGAATTAGCTTTAGTGAAGAAATCACAGATGTTAGACGGAGCATTCATGCAGGAAACGTCAAACATTATAGAAGATACTTTTTCAGCATATAACATTTGTAGGGGTAGAATTTTTGAGGAAATAAATAAAGGCACAGCATGGGCTCTAGGTTCAGAAAAGTACATCAAACGAAGGGCTCGTTTTTGAAGCACGAGGATTTTTTTTAAATGGGTTTTGGCAGCTTGACCCCAAGCCGCCAAACCATATGTCAGATGAGGCAAGATCAATGATTGATAAATATTTAAAAGGGTTGTACGTGGGACGAAGTGCCTAAGACGGGCAACAACACCAACAGTTCTGCTTATTTTTAATGCAACATTATTTATTTGAAATTTCCAGCTTAAGTTGCTGTCCAATAGGACGCCAAGATATTTAACATGGTCTTCGCACTGAAGCGTGGTAGGAATTTGAGTACAGTTATCGATCATTTCAATGTTAATCGAGTAGTTCAACTTACGTTGATATGGACGAAAGATAACATAGTTTGACTTTTTAGCATTGAGCGTTAACTTATTTGCATTAAGCCAGTCAGAGACTTTGAGCAGTTCGCTATTGACGGTTTTTTCAAGAGATTTCAAATTAGAGTCAGCATACAACAAGCTCGTGTCGTCAGCAAAGAGATAGAATGACAATTTCGCTGAAGAGTTGTGAATATCGTTAATATAGATTAAGAATAACAGAGGACCAAGCACAGACCCCTGTGGGACACCACATGAGATCATACATTCGGTAGATAAGTTAAAACCCACTTCAGTTACTTGTGAACGACCGAGAAGGTACGAGGCAAACCAAGTATTGATAATTCCTCTGATGCCATAATGATTAAGTTTTTGAAGCAAGATTAAATGGTCGACGGTATCAAAGGCCTTTTTTAAGTCTAAAAAGATCCCGCAAGTGAAAAGTTTTTGGTCCATATTGTTTTGTATGACATTAACGATATCAATAATGGCATGTTGCGTGGAATGGTTTTCGCGGAAGCCATACTGTGACTTAAATAGAATATCGTTTTTACCAAGATAGGATTTGAGGCGGTGGTACATTAATTTTTCAAATATCCGATTGAAAATAGACAGTAATGATATCGGACGATAATTACCAGGCTCAGTCTCATCGTCATTTTTGTACACAGGAACAACTTTCGCTTTTTTCAGTTTGGATGGAAAGATGCCCTTTTGCACAGATATGTTTATGATGATGGAGAGAGGGCCCGAGATAACGCATCTTGCGTCAGTTAAAATACGAATCGGACAAGAGTAGAGACCGTAGGTTTTATTTTTAGGGATCAAAAGTATCTCACGCTCAATTTCCTCTGGCGTAACTGGATCAAAGAAGAAAGAGCTTGGATTATAATTGGGAGACAAGTATTCGGTAAAAAAGCGAGATGAACGAGGTACGCGTGAAGCTAGGTTTTTACCGACCGAAGAAAAGTAGTTATTGAAGATGTTAGAAATCTCAAGAGGATCATTAGTTAAGCTTTTATCATCAGGACGTTTAAGGGAAGAAATGACTTGTTTTCTATTCTTTTTGTCGTTAATTAGCCTATTTATTCCATTCCAGGTGTTTTTCATATTGTTTAAATTTTCGGCAAAGAACGCGTGATAATAATTCTTTTTACTCAGTCGAGTAAGACTAGAAATTTTATTTCTGTATATTTTATAATTTACAAGATCACCCGATTGGAGGAGAGAATTTTTTATTTTGATGGATTTTCTAAGGCCACTAGTTATCCATGGTTTAGAGAACTGCTTAAGCTTGTGATTCGAAACAGTCTTTAAAGGAGCATGTTTGTCAACGAGTGCCAATAGTGTATTGTAAAAGTAAGAAAAAGCTGTATCGACATCAAACTGATCGCGAAAGTTAGTTTGGCTTACCAAAGCATCAGAGAGTTCAGAGTTGAACTTGCTCCTGGAATAACCAGAAAAGTCTCTGCGTTTTTGCTTTCCGCGTTTTGGCCGCTGAATAAAATTGTGAGAAATACAGAATTGTGAATAGTGATCGCTTATGTCAGAGATAATATTCCCACTGGTAATTTCAACATCAACTTTGTTTGTTAGAATATTATCAATTAGGGTGGCTGAGTTATTGTAAACACGTGTTGGTTTGTCAATAGTTGGGATAAATGAAAAGCTTTGAAGAGAAAGTAAGAAGTCCTGAGCATAACAGGAAGTTTCGGCATGAAGGAGGTTTATGTTGAAGTCGCCCATAATATATATTGATTTATTTGAGGTAATTAGTCTTTCAAGTTTATCATCAAAATATTCTTGGAAACGTTTGGGAGAGTTATGTTGTCTATATATGATACCACAAATGATGTTACTTTTCTGTGGAAGTTGAATTTCGATCCAAAGTGACTGGAAGGTTTCATCAGATACTTTTTCAATGACAGTATATTTCAGGGAATCATTAATATACAAGCCAACACCTCCAGAAGCTAGAGGTGTCGGCACATATTCGAAAACGTATCCAGGTATGCATGGATTAAAATCCATTTCTTTACCACTGATTATTTTAGTTTCTGAGACTCCTATAATGCTAAATTCGAAATTTAACTCGTCCAATAGATGAACTTGAAAGTTTTCAAGATTTCGCTTAAGACTCCTGATATTATTATGTAAAAGAGAGAAGCTCGAATCACTGACACGACTGGGAAGTTCACTTTTAAATTTGTAGAAACTATATGGGGAGTAGTATCGACTATGGATACGATGATTATAGATACTATCACTCGGATTGGTGTCTTCAAGTGCGTTTAGCTTGAAAAGATTAAGGTCATAAATGCTAGAGAGTTTTTCTAGGTATTTTTTGGCCGGTAAATGAGAAGGTAAACAATTATTAAATTGACCATGAGCTAAGTTTACATTTAATCCAAAATATGGGAGCTCACGGAATAAAGATAGAGTATCGCGAGAGTTTAGATCGTTAGCACTCATGAATAAAACTAACTATTAAAAGTAGATGATAGTAAATACTTATCGAACTGATAATGTCAGGTGTCCGAGACAAGTCGCTGTAGACTACCAAAGTCCGTTATCTTTATCGGTCGGGAACCCTCACTCTTGCGTAAATAAATCGTGGAATTCTTGGCCCAGCAGAAGCGGTATTGGTTCTGTTCTTTAAATCTCTTCGCTTCAAACAACAGGTGTTGTTTTTTGGGGGTGAGGTGATCGAAGATTCTGACTCTGTCAAGAACACTATCAGCAGACAGACCAATATTTGATGGGTTGACTTGAGAGGCACTTTGTCGAGTTTCCATAACACTTGCTTTTGCAAGGCGTCTTACAAATTTACAGATGACCGGTTTCGGAGCGCCATTTTGCTGTCTCGAGGGGACGCGATGAGCAATGTCAATGTCCGACAGAAACACTTCTGCCCCCATCTCCTGGAATAATTTTACACACAGGGCGCTTGTTTCAGCTGCGGTTTCACTGCTTTTCTCTGGCAGGCCAATTATTTTTACATTAAATTGGTAGCTATATTCCTCAACCTCGTCAATGGCGTTGCCAACACGTGTGACTTCAGCGCTAAGCTTATTAAGACGACGGCTTAATGCCTTGAGTTGATCAACGACACCAGAATTAGACGCTGAGAGGTCGTCGTATTCGTCGCTCAGATATTGTAGACTACGAGACACGGTTTCATCATTCGAAGCATTATTAATGCTATTACCAGACGTAGCAGCTGCTTCAGCACCAAAGGTAATGGCCGAGTCGACCCGAACCTTCTCTTTCAGCTGCGTTATTTCCTTCGACCTTATCCTTTAAATCTTGATTTTGTTGCTTTAGTGAAGTAACTGACTCTTTTGGCATTATTTCAGTTAAAATTAGTAACAAAAAGACAGATAGAAGCGGGAGCTCAAAATGAAACGTCCATCTTGGCTCCTGACCGCTGACCGCTATCCTCTTCGTATTAAAGAAAATTTTCTATCCCTGATGATGATGCCGTGGATCGGCGAAAGCTCAGACTTGTTTTAAATTCGTTTTGATTTTTAAAGTAGTTCAAAGGCCTCACTGGAAACTGTCATACCACTTGTTTTATTTTTTGTTAACAGCATAATTTTTTTAAAGAGAGAAAGTTTTCCTTTAGATCCTATGCCATTTACCATGGGATAAATATCTTAAACCACACACTAACTTAATTATATACAATGATACATAAGGATAATCACGTGACCACGGTGAGCTAACCAATGAAAGACAAATAATCTAATGGCTAATTTATTTATCCAAACATAGGAAAAAACACTACACTTTTGCAGAAGAGTTGCTTTTGTCATACAATTGTCCTAATTTGCTCTTTTTTCTTTTCAATTTTTACCAATATTCTATTAAACATTTAGTGTATTTCCTGAATGCACCTCATTAAAGATACACTTCTTCTACAATAACAGTTGCATTAGACTTGTAAAGTGTACATCACTGTTCTCACAATGAAGTAGTAAGTGTATCTGAAAAACACGACTTTTTGCACGGGGCTGCCATTTTAATTTTGAAATGATTAGCATGTCTTGCCCTCCCATGCTGAATCAGTAAACTTTGCGGGAGTGACGCTCCCTTTTCTTTCTCCAAGACTTTAGAGGTAGACCACCTTGTTAATCGGACTTTCTCACAAACAATGTTTCTTCTTTTTTCGTAAAGAGCAAGCACCATCCTTTATTTCGACTCCTTCAAGTCCATTGTATCCAGTGGAAAATGACAACATCACCCTTCAGTGGACATACACTCTTGATGGTACTCCTCTGGATGATGTAGAAGTACTTTTCACCCCTGATTCTCCCTCGCTTTCTATACAAAGAGTTGCGAGGTATAGGAGTGGAGGCACAACTCAGGTGGCTAGTGAGGTCCGGGATCGATTCGTTTTTAATTTAACAGTTAATGAATCAACAATGATAATCCATCACTCTCAAAGATCAGACAGCGGAACATATGAATTGAGAGTGAGCCCTGACGACCTGAACTCAGCTTCCATTACAGACGAAGTCAAGATTTCAGTGAAATGTAAGTGGGAATGATTTCACTAACACTTAAATGTTTTTGAAATACGTGGAACTTTTCAGTAACTTAGGGGTCGAAGCTTTACTCCAGGTAGAGGCGCAAAGATTTTTTTCCTTTATGCAGAAATGGTCGCGGCCTTGTGCGCCTCTGAGGTGCATTCTCGTGAATAGAGAAAAATTGAGTGATACTCATGGTTTATAAGTGTTTCAAGATAAGTACTTTGAAGACTTTATTCACCAATGTTACTTAACAAAAAAACACTTACTGCAGAGGACCAAATATGAAACACATCTTGGTATGTGATTCGCTACTTTATCATAGATTAAAAGCTATTGCAGACTACGGTTTTCGCTCAAGAAGGGCAATCTAAGTTAAGTTAGCTAAGTTAAATTAAAAGAGACTATGCCAAAGAGAATGAAGCAAGAAAATCTCTAGAGGAAAATATTGGGGCTCATCCCAACGCTTCCTAGAGATAGATATTGCGGCAATTAATTTTCTCGTTATTTTGACAAAACCCGCCAATTTGTCACAAAAAGAGAGAGAGAGCAACGTGAGTCAAAAATAGAAAAAACAAATAGAGAAGCCTTGATTGTGCCCTGTTCTGTTGTAAAGCACATAGGAAGTGGCTAGAGCACTCAAGAATTGGGGAGAAACACAAGACGTAGTGGATAGTTTCTCCTTACACTTCTTTTGTGCACAAGCCAATTCCTACGTACTTTACAACAGAACAGAGCACAGTCAAGGCTTCTCTATTTGTTAAATAAAAATTTGAAGTAATTTCGACACTGAAGTGACCATATAGAACCAGAGTAAACTAGATTCAAAACTCACTTGCTCAAAATAATTCTTTTAGATGCATGTCACTTCGGGGTCTCTCCATATGATGGGGAGTTAAAGGTATGAGCTTTCATTTCTCTCATAAAGCTAACTTTATGGGCACCTTCCCTTTCAGAATAACAATATGAATGCAGCATCAAGTTTGTAGTAAAAAAGGTGAATAATTTGCAGCTCCCAGGTCTCTTCCTTCAACTTCAAGAAATGTTGCGAAATCATTTTGTTCTTACGCATAGGATAGCTGAAAGATTTTCAAAATGTTACGACATACATGCTATACTATGTTTGCTTGATCAATGTTTTGTTATACTATGTTTTTGCTGCAGTCAGGATTGTGATTATGTTACAACATTATGGTCTTAGCATCCCAGATAGACCATTTGCAAAATTTTGCTTGCAAAACTAATTGTCTTATTTGGTTTTTCTCAATAAATTCAATTTCCACCGTAAACTTAAACAGTAGAATATATTCTTGTTTCAAGCACTTTCCTGCCCCCTCGAGAACTTCTCATTCCTAAGAGGTGGAACAGTCCGATAATTTCCCATTTCAAGCACTTTTTCCCATTTCAAGCACTTTTTCATGTAAAGATATTATTTGAAATAAGTTTCAAACTTACTGTCAAAATTGAAGTCATCAAGACAACAATAGACATGTTCTGTCTTAAACACAAAACAACAAGGCTGAAGTTTTCATTTCCAAGGACATGAGAAATGTTTTATTGTTTCAAGAACTTTATGACACCTTGTGTAATATATGGTGCTAAAAATCAAGGATAGAAATGATATTTTACTTCTGGGTACAATGGATGTGGTTAGCTGTTTTACAGAGAGATAACCATTTTTAATACAATTTGGTTGAGAATTGTATAAAAGGTATCAAAGATGACCTTTTTTTTCTGACTCCTTGCACTGGATAAATTTAATTTTACTACTGAGACTCTTATGATGGCCTTTAAAACTCTGACCCATAATTTAAAGGCAAATTTTGAATTGGTTATCTTACTTTGAACAAATTTATTCTGGAGCTGAAGAGTCAAGTATAGGTTTCTATTAGTTGCTTTTACTTGACATGTTCGATGCTATCAATTTTTATGCTTAGTATAAAAAAAGTTTAACATACCGCAGTCCAGATTTGAGAAATTTTTGCTCAATTAAGGAATTAATAAATGAAACCACTACTGTTTGTTCATACTGGTAACTTTTTGGGTTTGATTCCACTGCAACTGTGTAGACATTGGGCATGGCTCTTAGCTGTTAAAGGTTTAGTGAATTAACTATCTGCGAGAGAGTAGCAACTTTGTGTATACATTGTAAAAAAATTCAGTGAATTCTCTATTTGTCAATGTTTGTGCCTTCTTTATCATAGATGCAGCAAAGATCAACTACACCTCTGGTAATCAGACCCTGAATGAAAGTGGCACATTTAATCTAAGATGTGTGGCTGATGGTAATCCAACTCCAAATATCACCTGGACAAGAGTGTCTAACAACAAACCTGTGTCCGTCCCTCTCATTATCAGTGGTAAACAAGATGAAGGAGGCTACAGGTGCACTGCCAGTAATGATGTTGGAAGCCCTGATAGCAGGATTGTGTATGTTTTTGTGCAGAGTAAGTTTTATTAGAGGAAGACCTATCCCTTGTGGTTTAAGGTTAGTCTTTCTCTTTACAAGGAATCCTTAACCCGAAAGCTGTTTTAGTCAGACAAAAGGAGAGGTATTCTCCAGCAAGAAATTCTTAATTTTATCTCCAATGTTGAATTAGGTGCATATTGTTCCAAAAATATTAACATTTTGTCTCCGCTTAACCAACACATATAGCATAGAATGAAAAGTAAGTTGACCTAAGGAGAGCATTTTGTTCAGCAATCTCAAACACTTGACAATAATTCTGCTACTTGAGCAAACTTAAACAATGGCCTTATGATTTGTGATCATGCTTACTAAAGCATGCTTTAACGTTTTTCCTTAAACAGTTGAACATTTACTGGTAGTTAATGGATGGTGAACAGCATGGAAACCATGCCAACAGTTTGTGCTTACACTCTAGTAGCCAAATAGTCAATGGATAGCCCTTGTGTTCTAAAAGTTTTTGGAGGTGTAGCCCTATTTTGTTGCCCTGTTGCCCTTGCCCCCTGAAGTGAAACAATTTGCCCCCCATCTTTACCTATTTGCCCTCAGATATTTCAGCATTTCTCCTTAACACAAAACATTCCTTTTTTGTTGAAGTCAAAAATAATTTTTTAGTTTAATACTTGATTAGGAGAACATGGCAGGAGGCTATGGAAAGCTAAGTTTAGAGGTACTTACAGCAATAATCAGTCTACCAAGTGTGTTTTAATAAAGCAATGATTTTGGCAAAATTCTAAGGGACAGCAAGGTAACTAGTTGTTAAAATTTGTTGTGAGGGCAAGCATAAGAAACTGTTAACCCATTTAGGTAAATACTTTGTGGTATTGCCTCACTCTTGCAGTAGTTATGCATTGGTGAACATTGTTAAGAATCTGCATGTTGATCAAACTGTGTGAAATTGAATGTTGACGGAAATATATTACAATTTCAACAGAAAACATCACTTACTTTCAGGAACTGAGTTGAAAGATTCGAGAAAACTCTTAAAGGGTGGGGCAAATTTGTTGTACATCTGGTCCCGGTTGTTTGAAGGTTGGATAACGCTATCCACTGGATAAATCTCTATTCATTGGATAGTGCAGGACGTTTTACAATCACTTATCCGCTGGATAGCAATTTATCCAATAGATAATGTCATCCGCCCTTTATACAACTGGGCCCTGTACTTCAGGCTGAGGCAAATTTGTTGTACATCTGTACTTCAGGGGACGAACTCACAAAGGTGAAATTAGGGGTGAAACATACAGATACCATTGTAAATTTATATCAAGAGCTAGTGTAAGGTTTTTCAGGATACAAATTAAGATTTTCTCATAACGCGTGAAGTGATAAAAAACTGGTTTATCAAACTTAGAGTTGAATTAAAGGTAAACGCTATGAAGGAATATTCAAGGACCATGCTTGAACTTATCAGAAAATTTCATCCCCTCAGTAGTGAGCTTGTCTTTCTCCATTGCAATGTTAGGGCCAGAATTACTTGTACATGTCTCAAAGATGCTCTTTAATATTCTTCAATGATATATTCCAACAGCTGTTGCAGAAAGAAAATTTCAAATATTAAGTTACTACAGTTATATGTAAAGAAAATGACTTAAAAACGAAATGAAGGACAACAAAAGACACTTCCAAACATTGTATGAGATCTGGGAACAAACTGTCTGGTTAAAGATGATATACAACAATTTAGGAAAACAATACAGCAGAGTTAAATGATTAAGCAGAATGAAAAAATTTGCAGGAAAGAACTTATATAAATGACACACACAAAAAAGGAAAATTATGCAACAGAAGTAACAGAATATTGATGAAAGTAGGGTACCAATGAAAACAAAAGAATATGATGAAAATGTGACAGAAGTAAAAATTACGAATTTGTAATAAATAATTTTGGTTGCAATATTTTCCTTTAAGACTTCTTAATATTCTCACGACTTTTGAATGATGCTACATGTAAATTCTTGTGACAATTTTAGAGTGATTCTGGCCATTGGCTGTAGGTCACACTTTCCGCTGCTTGTGAGACAACTGATTTAGGTACTTTGTATTTACTGAAAAAAGAATAATATTGCCAATTGATTTGAATCCATTTTAGATTACCACCCGGTAAACACCATTGTGACAACCAATCTCACTGAAAACACTGTTCTTGTGAATGAAACCTTCAGTATCACCTGCAGTGCACAGGCCAACCCACCTGCAAAGTATCGATTCTACAAAGGTGATAAGTATGTCAATGCTGCAGACAACAATGCAGTGATTGCAACTTCAGTTAGTGAAAGAGTAAAGATGGTGAACTACAACTGCATCCCGTTCAATTTTTATGGTAATGGCACCCAAAAGGCAACAGCTGTGACAGTGCACTGTAAGTATTTGATTGTATGAATTCCATAGACTACTGAAGTCAGTGTTATGAATATGTTTAATGTACATGCACATGTTTGTATACTTTATTTCCTTGAACAATCACCCACATTCACATTGTCAAACAAGTGCCCCTCTCAGATAAGCAAACTGCCCTCCTCCCTCACTTTCTTAAATAGAAGGGAAACAAGGGAAACCTGTTTACATTGCCACTCTTTCATATAATTTTAAGCTTCAACTACTGCAGAATCAGCAAGAGGAAAACTCTTTTCCCCTTACTGATTCTTTTCCTCTAACTGAGTCAGTTCCATTTATATCTATATCTGCTTGCAGAGTTCCTTTATGTGCATTACCTGACCTGCAAAATTTTGTTTTATTGCTGGGCTGACTTATTAAGTGCGCTCCTAGATTAAGCGCCCTCCTTCCAATAAGCACCCCTCCTTTAAGTTAAAATTTTAAATAAGCACTCAGCTGCTTGTTTAAAGAAATATTGTATTTAAGGATTTTAAAACATCACTATGAAAACTAATAGTTTGTTGTTTGGAAAGACTGATCTGTATAGTCCCCTAGCTACACCTAACTTTTGATTTGAATTTGGTGAAAGTTCAACTAACATACAGGGTTTTCAAAAGAATATGGAAGAGTCCAGTATTGCTATTTACTATCGTAGAATGAGACTCAGTGCCAAAGGGTAAGTGCTTTTGGCCTTATATGTTGAACCCCTGCATGCTCCCCAAGGGAGCATGGAAGTCACATAAATGTGTCTCCTTCATACATGGGGAGTAATTGTTTCCGTTCCAAAAGCAAAGTTTTTACAATTTTATTTTAATTTGCTCTCATGCTTTGTAAACACAAAGTAGGAAAACAGGAAAGTTTAAATCCTTATCCCCACCTAGAAAATTCACACTTTCCCCCTATATTAAATGGTTACTTACCAATTGTCTGGAACTCATTCCAATATTTACTATATATTTATAAGACCTCAATCTACTTAATGGTCACCTCAATTACAGTAGGAAGACGGGGTCACTTGGAATTCCCAAATGGCTACCACTTCTTCTAAAGAGTCACCATTTTAAATCACAATCCAGAGAATGTGTGGTCTGAATTTTTCTATTTTAATGTTTGGTCTCATTATTTCTTGTCCCACTTGAACTGAGTAAATTCAAGGATTAGCTTCACTGAGCTACAATTATCAAAAGTCAAGGTTTTCATGGCTGATTTATTAACCTTTAACTCCCAAGGTCTCATCAGTAATTCTCCTTAATGTCTGCCGTACAGTTCTTGTGATGTTACTTGGAGAATTTGGTATTGGATCAACTTATAATCCCCTTTTGATATTTTTTGAGTTATTAAAAATAATAATATTAATAATAATAATAATAATAATAATATCTATGTTAGCGTATAGAGAGTGGTATGTTGCTTGCACCAATCAGATAGTTTAGGGTATGTATCTTGCACCAATCAGATTGTTGTTTTTGTTCTTTGGTTTGAGAGGTGTTCAGATTTCAAAGAAGTAATGGGAGATTCGGAGAGAGCGGTTTGTAAAATTGAATCATCTTTTAGAATGAGAAATGTTGGCTTTTCTGTGTTATTAACGTGTATTTTACTGCAATTTATGAGAAATGCAATACTACTGGACATATGAAATAAATCAGATTACGTAAAGTAAACGTGTTACTCATGCTGTGAAAATGGTAGATAGTTGTCAGAGAGAAAATGAAGTCCTGTGCGCTGTAGCACGATCATGGTTATTGTTCCTTCACAATGACATTGGGTGAAACAATTTTGAATCAAATACTGCTTGAGGAGTTGATGAATTTCACCAAAATTTTGGTTTGAGCAGTTCTTTAACGGCAGGCTGTGTGGCAAGATTCATGATTTGTTGAGTGTGCTGATTTAACATTTTTCTGGATTGGTTTGCTTGGTGCTATCACTAGATGAATATCTGATTAAAATTAACTATGGACAATTTTGTGTATGTTTTCGATGCCTGGAGAAAGTGCTCTTGTGGAGTCGTTTGTGTTTGGCCAAGAACAAATCCAGATACCATCGTTATCTGGAATGATAAAGTCGAAGAACAGTTTTGATCTCGGTCCGCATTTTTGTCGACAAAATAAACACATACTACTTAAAAAGATGAATATATGGACCATGTGCAAAGCTGTCAATTGTTTCTCCATTATTGCGTTTGTTAAATTTTCAATAGTGACATCTCATTTACATCTACATCTACATCTACTTTATTGCATTGGTAAAATCTGTACAGACATCTCACCAACCAACTTGTACGCAAAGTGAGAAGACTATATGAAGGCTTGAATTTATATTGAGATCGACTTTGACCAAAAACGGGCTAGGAATATTCCACAATAATGCAAATAAACGTGAAAGCTGATTACAGAAAGGCAATAATGTGTGATGATCAGTAAGTTGTAAGATGATAAGTTATCACATACCAGACCAAAAACTCTCTAGATTCTCAGTCTGCATTTTGAAGTCTGCAATCTACATTTTGTACCTTATCTAGATTTTGTATCTGGTCTGCAGTCTGCAGTCTGTATCTCGTAAGTACTAAAACAAGGAACGACCTAAAACCACCTAAAACCACCTAAAACCACCTAAAACCACCTAAAACCACCTAAAACCACCTAAAACCACCTAAAACCACCTAAAACCACCTAAAACCAACTACAACCATCTACAACCATCTACAACCATCTACAACCACCTCAAAAATTTCAACAACCACCTACAACCACCTCAAAAACATCTACAACCACTCGCAAACTATCAAAAACCATCTAACACAAGGCATAAATGTCTAAAATAAGGCGAACCGACAACATGTCACGTACACGAAATACGAGAATCGAACGAAACCTCTACCTCCCCCTGAAATCTTACTCTCCCTAGTGCGATAGCATGCTAATTATTTTATATTCCCTCAGCAAACGACTTAAAGGACTTTACAAAATGAAGTAACATGTTACAAAAAATAATACATTGGGAATCATACATAGGTGCGCGTATATATGGAAGTTTTTGTAATCATGATTCAAAGCATTTTCCATCTTAAGAGTCAGCGCCAACGCACTCTACGATTGTTATTCGAGGATTGTCTATTCAATTATTTGCATTCATTAATGAGGTCGGATTTTCTTCCCAGAAAAGGGCTATTGTGTTTATATGATAAACAAAATAATACATGGTTGCTTGTAGATATGGAATTTCTCTTCTCGTGTTCAACTCGACATCTCACTCGTTCACTGCGCTCACTCGTGAGCTATCGTGTTAAACACTCGAAGATTAATTCGTGGTATCGTGGTAAACACTCGAAGATTAATTCGATATCTACACGCGCCCATGTATTATTCCCTATACATGGGACCAGGGAGAGTAAGATTTCAGGGGGAGGTAGAGGTTTCGTTCGATTCTCGTATTTCGTGTACGTGACATGTTGTCGTTTTGCCTTATTTTAGACATTTATTTTAGACATTTCATTTGTGTTAGATGGTTTTAGATAGTTTGCGAGTGGTTGTAGATGTTTTTGAGGTGGTTGTAGGTGGTTGTTGAAATTTTTGAGGTGGTTGTAGATGGTTTTAGGTGGTTTTAGGTGGTTTTAGGTGGTTCCTTATTTTAGTACTTACCGTCTGTATCTTGTACTAACAGGTATAAGTGGCACCAATATCTGTATGTGAGTTAATAACACATTTTTGTTCTTTCTGCATCAATACTCTTCTTTCCTTTTGTAAAAAAATATATCTTACAGTAAAAGTTTTTACTTTCCCTAAATCCTTCAGTTCTTAAAGGAAAGTTGCAAGGGACAAGATTATGTCAACTTTATGGGATGCCTTTGTGAATATTCAGAACACTTTCAGAAATTTTTAGACATCTGTTTTAAATTAAATCAGGTCCTCCACAAAAATGCTGGCACTCTAAGAAATACAAATCTTATTCATTAACCTAACTCAATAAAACTTGGCTGGTAGAACGGAACACATTTGAATTGCTCGGGATCCTTCAGCACCTTATTTTTGCTTTTTAGTGTAAACATCACTTATCAAACAACCCTAATAATCACTTGATTAAAATAAAAAGATTTAGAGCACTCTCTCCTCTCCCATTTGAGTACTTGTAAAAAAAGCTTTTTTTGATTTAGAGGTGTAGCATAATTTTAAACTACATGTGCAGGTAAGAATGACAAATTCAAGACAGTAAGCATATTGATATATAATGGTAGGCTTTGTACATAATTATGTGTATACATGCATAATTAACTATGTTTTTCTTTTTCTTTATTTGTCTTGTGGCTGATTAAAATAAGCATTTAAGTTTTACCAATATGATTTAAAACGATATACGCTTAAGCTGAGAGGTGTATAACATGTACATGTAGAGTGTGCCATTTGAACTGTGTGGGAAACTCAGGATGACAAGGTCATCATAAAGAAGGGGCCAAATGTGGTAGAAATGCTTGTTATTAGACTTATTATGCTGTATTTACCTTTGGATAAAATGCAGGAACAATTTGTTTTCGTAAAATGTTAAAATGCTTAGTGAAAATGTGGTTGTGAAAATGTGGTAGTGAAAATGTGGAAAATGTGGCAGTGAAAATGTGGAAAATGTGGCCAAATGTGGTAGAAATGCTGTGTTAACCTGTGGATAAAATGCAGCAACAATTTGTTCTGGTAAAATGTTAAAATGCTGAGTGAAATTAAATTTTCCTCTAATTTTGTACAAATAACTATGAGTGACAATTTTAAAAGGCTTTTTAAACAAAGCTAGACCGAAGTAAGTTCAAGTGAATGTTAGTTTTGAATTTGCTTTTAAAGATTATAAATGTTGGGGAGAAGGAAGTCATTCATCATGAAAAGGCCATCCTTCCTTGAATGCTGAATGACAAACCTGTCACCTGCTTTTGAGCTGAACTCAGTGACTGGCAGTGTTATGGTGTGATATTGTTTTCTGTCCGAAAGATAGAGGATTGCAAACATTTAAGAAACTATTCTACAAATGACAGATGTTTTTCTCCCTGAAAAATGACTACATTGCCAGATCAAGACCAGAAGTCTGCAGTTGAAAAGTTGCACTATAAATCACAATGATGTCAACAGCCATAATAATTTTTACAGCAGCAACAATTGTTTTATAAATTGAAAAATGTTAAAGCTTAATTCTTGTGTGGACAAGTCAAATGCACAAACCATTGGTAAATTAATTTTTACTATGATGATCACTGGAAGCTTAGCATCTGGTGTTTTTTGATATTTGATATTTACTCAAGGCTGTAGTGTGTATTTTTTTTAATGTGAGAATGCCAGTGAGAAACATCTGTTGGCATTTTTTACTTTGGTCCTAGTTGGCCATTATCTTTCAGGTAAAGTTTGTTTTCTCTTTCTGACTCATGTTTTGACTCCTTTAATTTCTTCTTGTTATCAATTTCTTGGTTTATTTTGTATCTTTACTTCAGATAATATTTGGCAATAACTATTAATTGTATGTGCATGCTGGTTAGAAATGCAATGTCCATTGTGAAAGCACGAAAGAACAAATCCAGAACTTTTCAGTAATCATGTAGAACTAATTTTTTAAAATATTTGTAGACTTTTCATTTAGAGTAGTCAGTTCGGCTAAAGGAAACAAAGTACAGGATATTGAAACTTCTGTTGGAGAGAGAGGTGCATGAGTTGACACTTGAGGATACACTTTTTGAGTAATACTTTATTTCAATATAGGATTGAAAGTTAAAATTTGTTGTAATGAAAGTAAAAATTTATAAGTTTTGTATCAATGAAAGTAAATGCCAAGGCAAAAGCTTAAATAATTTTGATGTTGAAGAAATTGAGGAAATGGAATTGCAATTGTCATAAATTTTAATAAAACATTTCCAATGATGGAGCTATTTTGTAAAACTGCATTTTGAACAACCCAGGCAGGCTGGTTGTGAAGGATTTGCAGTAAGCACTGTTTATGGCTGATCCAGCAATGCAAACAAAAGATTTATTGACATTCTGGGAGGCAAATAAGCTACATGCTGTCCATCAGAGAAAAGTGAGCCATTTCTTTAGTTAAAATAATTAAGCCTTTGTTAAAAGTTTCTTACTCGCCTAAAGACCTGCACCAGGTTTCAGGGTAACAGGTGGCACAGCTACCCCAAGTTCCTTTGCTCCCAAGTTAATGGTTGTGTGACCCCCAACTTGAAGTTGCATTGTTTTAATTTTTATTACTGATTATTTATTTAACTTGAAGATTATTAATGCAAAAAACTTTCAAGTTGTAACAATAGTAACTTTGCAATCCCAATCATGTGACAGCAGAGTGCAAGTCAGTGAAGGGTCCGTTTTGGAGGTGTTTCCATGCTCACTCTAGATGGGTAGTTATGAAAAAGTTTTTGTTGTAATTGGTCAGTGCAGGGATCGAATGAGAAAATGCAAACTGGGAACATACTGTTTAGATTTAGGTCAGATTTTTACAATAGCTTAGCTGCCCACTATAATATTTCCTGATTCAGATCCAGCTTTAATAGATTCTGCTCCAGTTAATGAAATTTTCCCTGAAAAAGACAACATGACTTTACATTGTAATGCTACTGGCAATCCTATACCAAACATTACTTGGCCTAAAGGTGGCAGTTTGTCAGTGCTACATCAAGGGGATATTTACAGCGCTGTAAACATACCCAGAGAGGCAGCAGGAAATTACACATGTACAGCTTGGAATGGAGTTGGTAAACTAAAGAAAGCTATTGCTATCATTGCTGTCCATTGTGAGTTGTTTTTTTCTTGACCTTTCTCATGTTCAGATTTTTTGTTATATAAAATGATGAGAATGGCGAATCATTTTTAGTTGAACCTTCTGTGGTATTTATTATTTTTGGGGTGTTGTTGTAGTTGTGTTTCCAGACATAGTTTAAACTTTTTGATTTACATTGTAGATCCTCCTTCTATAAAAATTCACAAAAAAGAGGTTATAGTAGTTGAGGGTCGCAATACCAGTTTGACATGCAATGTATCTGGTAAACCAGAACCTACCATCACATGGACTAAGCAAGGTAGTAGTAAGGTGCTCTCAAATACTTCATCATTGGATATGGTAAATGTAAGCAGACATGACGCAACTGACGACATAATACAGTATCAGTACTTAAGATCCAAGGCAAGGACATGGAGAAAGAGTGACGAAGTTCAATTATTTTATTATGTTCAATAAACAGCTTCACTGGAAAGCATACTGAGTCTATTTGTAACAAAGTCAACAAGCATTTGCGATTTTTAGTACGGATAACATCTTGCCTTACTCTTAAGGGAGCGAAGTGTGTCTACAATACCCTTATTGAGCCAATCCTGTATTATAACGACACTGCGTGGGGTGAACTGTCAGCCACTTCCAGCAAAACCCTTCAACGGTTACAAAATTATGCTACCCGCATCGTCCTAAGGCGTGACTTCTGAAAAGACACTTTTAATGTTTCAGGGTGGGCTGAGTTACAAATGAAACGGGAAAGACACAAATGTGTTTAAATTGATAAATGCTGAAATATGCTAGTACCTCGATATTAATGTAACTATTTTATTAGAAACTACAATGTACATAGCTATGAAACTTGCAGAAGAACCGATTTGCACCTGCCCAAACTGAAGGTTGGCCTTGGGAAACAAAGTTTTAAATATTTGGGCATGGGATTTTTTCATTTGTTGTCTCGGTACATTTAGAAGGCGGAGTCACTTTCTTCCTTTAAATTTTTGATGAATAATCACGATTTTTAACATTTCGTATTTTTAAATTATTACATCCTTTTTTTTTAATTACTATCTATTCTATTTTTACATTATTATACTTTTTAGTCCAGGCCTCCTCCGGATAGCAGCCTTAGGGCTGATTTGGCCACCCTGGTAAAATAAGGTTTACCTTACCCCTTACCGAAGGAGAGGGAAACTTTACCCATACCTTTTGTGCCGTTAGACTATAATGTTTTCAACTTCCTACCAATAAGTAAGCTGCATGAGAGGTATGGCCCGTATCACGAGTCCTATTTCTATTCCCCGCCTTCAAGTGGAAAATGTTATGTTCTCTTGGCTCATATCAGCGCTATGACTTTATTTGTTTGTTGTAGATGCTCTTGGTAACGCAAACCTTACCTCATCTCCTGGTAACATTGCAATGTTACATAAAAGCAGTCTAACATAACTATGATCATTTGTTTATCTTTTTATTTACGTTTTTTCGTGTTGAGTATTCACAAAAGCAATAAAAGAAATAGCTACTCTCTCGTTCGCAGAGGGAAAATACAACACTCTAAGAGCTAACGCTGATAGAAGCAGTTGACGATAACCTTTGTCAGTTTCATGATTTGATCCTTTTTTTTAGATGCTCCTGACGGCGCAAAACTCATTTCAGCTCCCAGTAACACGACAGTGCTTCGCAAAAGTCCTCTCAGTTTGAAATGCCGAGCCGATGCCAATCCTGAAGCTGAATTTCATTTGTACTTTAACGGTAGACTTCTAATGGCCAACAGCTCAGGGATTTTTAATGTTACTGTGATGTCCGATGGTGTGTACACCTGTGCTCCTTTCAACGAAGTTGGTGCTGGAAAAAATGCCAGTGTCAGTGTTTCAGCTGTTGGTGAGTCTACAGTCAGGTTAACATGCTCGATTGCAAGAAACGGAAAGTCACGAAACATGTACAAGTAGACTCAATTGATTTACTTTTATCTTTAGTTATGCAAATCTTTTTTTTTTTAAAAGAAAATTCCCTTTCTTTCGGGAGAGCTGGAATAGCTTTCTTCATTCACCATTTGCAAGCAGTTGTGTTTGTCTTAACATGCACACCCTGGCATTAAGCCGTTGGGTATTATCGTTCAGTTTTTGTGATCGAGTGACCAAAAGAAACATAGTCGTTTTTAGCAGCTCACGTGGTAAGAATGTTTAACCGTGAGAGTAAAATTTTTGTCACGGGAATCGATTGCAGTCCTATCTAGATAGATAGGGCTTGTCTTAGCGTTCTACGAATAATTGTTAGAGATACTTTCAGTTACAAGTACATCTTCACTGATGGCATTTACTCAATGACAAAGGCTTTTTTAGTGAGCGTACTTCAATAGACTCTCTGGCAACTTTTCTTGGCGCATTGTTATGCGCTGTTCTTAATTTTTGTACGTCAGTCGCCTTCATGATACGATAGTTAGGGTTAAGATTCAGGTCGGGTTTTGGGTAGAGTAGGTGGCCTATTTCTTAAGGCGTAGCATTTTCTCCTATGTTTTATCATTTACAAAGATATGCCTGTCAAACCACTGATTATAGAAATTGTCTTCCAGAGGCGCCATCAGTTTCAGTTTTACCCAACACAACAACTGTCATTGACGGAAATAGCTTAAACCTGACATGTAATGCGTTTGGAAAACCAAAAGCAAGCATTAGGTGGACCATGGTTAACTATTTTGATGTCCTATCCACTGATTCACGACTCGCTGTAAATGTAAGCAGACCTGAGACAGTAGACAATATGATCCAGTATCAATGTACAGCCAGTAATGGAGTGGGAACACCTGCTACAGCTACAGTCAATGTTACTGTTCACTGTGAGTAGCTATTTGTATAACAGTCTTGAAAGTGCAAGAAATGTTTAACAGTTATTTTTTACATCATTGGATATGAGAATCCAAGCAAATGTGAATGAAATCATAGTCTAAAACTATCAAATTCACTAAGATGCTCTGGGAAACAACATGGTGAAGTTAAATTGCAAATTGTCTGAAATGAAGAAGAGTGATACACATTGCAAGCACAAAACGGTCATTGCTTGCCCTTCAGTGTTTGTGATCATTTATCAATTTCTTCAATCTAAAGTAACCGATGTAATAGTTCCTAAATGTCACGTGTAATTTATGTCGTATTTTTTTATTGTTCTGTCTCCTTAAAGGTGTTTTTTAAAAATTATAAAAAAAATGTTAAAGATAGGTACTTGTATGTGGGTGTTTTTACGTATTTGTTAAAAATTCCATTCATAAATGTAGTATTCCATGTGCGATTAATTCATATACATTTGAAAGTCTTGGAAATTTTCGCAAGGCAAATTGTTGGTCCTACTAAATCTGTACGATGTAAGCATTGTCAAAATTGTTCTATTATTTGTCATTAAGACATGCATTGTAAAGTTAATTACTCCTGTCAACGCAGCGTCTCAAATACAGGACTCATTTGGAGTGTGAGACTTCTTGGACTTCCGCTGAATTTTTTGACATGTGTTGAAGCTGCATCTCAACTTTGACCCACCATATGTAAAACATCACTTCTAGAAAGTCAAATGGTGATGTTAAAGGTTTTTCGTCGCATATTCTCGAGCTCTAGGAGCACGACATGGTGTTACGTCAGTGGTGTTTTTATATGGAATCCTTTGAAGTTGGCAAATAACATTTATGGAAGTCTTCGCTATTATGAGCGAATGGAGCTGCACACATTAAGAAAATATTCAGCTCCCTTCCAAACCAAGTTAAACAAGAGGCTATACGGAGCCTATATTCTGGCCGGATTTGCGGTTCAGAAGGAACGAATTGAAGGCCTTGCAGTTTTTAGCGAAATCGCTGTTGAGTGTTCTTCATTGCTTACTGAACATGGAGAGTACTAGAGATTAAGACTTTGGAACAAGGTGATACGGCTTATTGTTATTCGAAACGAAATTAAAATCTATAGTTTGCGAAATGGAAATATGCTATTGATTTCCTAAATAGAAATCTATAAATCTGTGTTTTGCGAACGAGAATCCCTGCAAAAAACCCCACTAGCCAGAATAATTCGTTTCTACGAAATAATAAAAATACTAAAATTTCTGATTTTAGCATCTCCAACTTTTCGTGAAAAGGAAAGGGAAGTAAAGGAAAGGATATTGGAAATACTCTAATGTCGTAGCAAAGTCACTTTGTGACTTAGCTTGAGTCGTAGAGAAATTCAGAATGATGGTAACCATCCAACTCCGCAGAATAATAAACGCATACCTCGGGCTTTTTACAAAACCGGTGCTAATTACAATCCTACGTTCGTCATATCAATCCTACGTTCGTCATATGTCATTTTCCGGGGAAAAACTAAATCCAATTTCTGATTCTGGCCTGTTTACGGCCAGAATAAATATAGTGAGAACGTTTGGTGAGTCTTCAATTGGTATTAATAGCTGAAAATTCTTTTTTTTAGTCTCGCAAGTGGCATCGAGCTACATGTAATTCCGAGGGCCGAGATGTATACTGTCCCTCTGTTCACCTTCAGTCTGTCGTTTACATTATGTAGTTACGATGACGAGATCAAGCAACGGTGTAACATTTCGATTTTGCAGACAGTACCATTCTTCCTCAGCAACATCCTCCGTTAAAAGAGAGTGATTTGAAAACACTTAACACAAATTCGATGAAAATTTCGATATCAAGATCAATTTTAGAGAAGGATGTTTATCGTCTTGTCACGAACGTGGGACAGAAAAAATTCTTAGTCTAGATGAGGAATCGAACCTCAGATCTTCGGATTCCGCGCTCCGATGCTCTACCACTGAGCCACAGAGACTCTACAGTGAGTGAGGTCTATTGCGAAGTTCATATGAAACGCGTCATGCATACTGCTATTATCAGCAATGACGATAGCGTAATGTTTTAAATCCCAGAGCTAGCAAGGAGTGATTGCGCAGAAAAAATCGGTGTCTTCAGCTCAAGGTGGCCAAGAAAACATTTGCACATGAGATCGAGGCTATTTGTGCCATATAGCCAGCCAGGCGCCAATGCCTGAAATCGCATAAAACCCTCTCAGTATGCGTTCTCCTCCGTTGAACGCCAAAAGGCCTATGCATTTGTTGATCACCACTGCCTCCTTCATGAGAGCACTGTAGAGTTACAGGATGCAGTCTTACCTGGTTCAGAAATTATCTGACTACTCATTCGCAGACAGTTCAATATGGAAAAGAATTATCATCAAGCCTTCCTCTAGACTTCGTCGTTCCTCTAGGTTCCTTACTGGGACCATTGCTATTTGTGATAGGCATAATTGACCTGCCTCAATGTTTGCTACACTCGGCGATTAAGTATGTATACCGATGACACAGTGATGTATTAAACTGGGTCCGATATCAGCATCATCAGAGAAAATCTACAAAAAGACCTCAAACGAGTCGAACAGTGGTTGATGAGTAGCAGACTAATACTAAATCAGAGCGAAACGAAAGGCATACTCTTTGGGACAAGGCAACCGTAGCAAACTTCATCAGACTTTGTACTGCAGATCCAAGGAGCGAGTGACGAAGTTCAATTATTTTATTATCCTCAATATACAGCTTCACTGGAAAGAGCATACCAACCCTATTTGTAACAAATAGTAAACGAGCGTTTGCTATTTTTAGCACGGATAACATCTTGCCTTACTCTTAAGGTAGCGAAGTGTCTCTGTAATACCCTTATTGAGCCAATCCTGTGTTATAACGACACTGCGTGGGGTGAACTGTCAGCCACTTCCAGCAAAACCCTTCAACGGTTACAAAATCGTGCTACCCGCATCATCTTAAGGCGTGACTTCTGTAAAGACACTTTTAGTTTTAGGGTGGGCTGAGTTACAAATGAAACGGAAAAGACACAAACGTGTTTTAGTTTATAAATGCTTAAATAAGCTAATACCTCAGTATTTATGCAACTATTTTATTAGAAAATACAGTGTAAATAGCTATGACACTTGCAGAAGAACCAATTTGCACCTGCCCAAACCGAAGGTTGGCCTTGGGAAACGAAGTTTTAAATATTCGGGCATGACCCTTTTTAATTTGTTGTCTCAGTACATTCAGAAGGCGGAGTCACTTTCTTCCTTTAAATTTTTGATGAATACTCACGATTTCAAACATTTTTTATTATTAAATTATTACCCTTATTTTTAAATTACTATTTATTCTATTTTTACATTATTATACTTTTTAGCCCAGGGCCCCTCTGGACACCAACCTCAGAGCTGATTTGGCCACCCTGGTAAAATAAAGTTTACCTTACCCCTTTACCTAAGGAGAGGGAAAATTTAGAAAAGCTTGTACTCTCACTACCCATATCTTTTGCACCACTATACAAAAATGTTTTCAAACTTGATACCAATTGGTAAGCCGCATGAGAGGTATTGTCCGTATCGACCGCCTTCAAGTGAAAATTTTATGTTCTCTTGGCTCATATTAGTGCTATGACTTTATCTGTTTTTATGATGCTCCTGGTAACGCAAACCTTACAACATCTCCCAGTAACACTGTAGTGCTATGTAAAAGCTGTCTAACACTACCATGATCATTTGTTTATCTTTTCATTGGCGTTTTTTGGTGTTGAGTATTCACAAAAGCAATAAAAGAAATAGCTACTCGCTCGTTCGCAGAGGGAAAATACAACATTCTAAGAGCTGACACCGACAGAAGCAGTTGACGGTAACCTTTTTCGCTTTCATGATTTGATTCTTTTTTTAGATGCTCCTGACGGCGCAAAACTCATTTCAGCTCCCAGTAACACGACGGTGCTTCGCAAAAGTCCTCTAAGTTTAACATGCCGAGCCGATGCCAATCCTGAAGCTGAATTTCATTTGTACTTTAACGGTAGACTTATAATGACCAACAGCTCAGGGATTTTTAATGTTACTGTGATGTCCGATGGTGTGTACACCTGTGTTCCTTTCAACGAAGTTGGTGCTGGAAAAAATGCCAGTGTCGGTGTTTCAGCTGTTGGTGAGTTTACAGTCATGCTAATATACTCGATTGCAAGGAACGGAAAGTCACGAACCATGAACAAGTAAACTCAGTTGATTTACTTTTATCTTTTGTTATGCAAATCTCTTTTTGAAAGATAATTCCTTTTCTTTCGGGAAAGCTGGAATAGCTTTCATCATTCACCATTTTCAAGTAGTTGTGTTTGTCTGAACATGTACACCCCAGCATTAAGCCGTTAGATCCCACCGTTCAGTTTTTGCAGTCGAGTGACTAAATGGAACAGAGTGACTTTTTAGCAGATCACGTTGTAAGAATGTTTAACCGTGAGAGTAAAATTTTTGTTACGGGAATCGATTGCAGTCCTATCTAAATAGATAGGGCTTATCTTAGCCTTCTACAACTAATTGTCAGAGATACTTGCAGTTACAAGAACATCTTCACTGATGGCATTTACTAAATGACAAAGGCTTTTTGATTTAGGATACTTCAATAGAATCTCTGGCAACTTTTCTTGGCGTATTGTTGTGCGCTGTTCTTAATTTTTGTGCGTCAGTCGCCTTCATAATACGATAGTTAGGGTTAAGATTCAGGTCGGGTTTTGGGTAGAGTAGGTGGCCTGTTTCTTGAGGCGTAGCATTTTCTCCTGTGTTTTATCATTTACAAAGACATGTCTGTCAAACCACTGATTATAGAAATTGTCTTCCAGAGGCGCCATCAGTTTCAGTTTTACCCAACACAACAACTGTCATTGACGGAAATAGCTTAAACCTGACATGTAATGCGTTTGGAAAACCAAAAGCAAGCATCAGGTGGACCATGGTTAACTGTTCTGATGTCCTATCCACTGATTCACGACTCACTGTAAATGTAAGCAGACCTGGGACAGCAGACAACATGGTCCAGTATCAATGTACAGCCAGTAATGGAGTGGGAACACCTGCTACAGCTACGGTCAATGTCACTGTTCACTGTGAGTAGCTATTTGTATAACAGTCTTGAAAGTGCAAGAAATGTTTAACAGTTATTTTTTACATCATTGGATATGAGAATCCAAGCAAATGTGAATGAAATCATAGCCTAAAACTATGAAATTCACTGAGATGCTCTGAGAAACAACATGGTAAAGTTAAATTGCAAATCATGTAGAATGAAGTAGAATGATACAAATTGCAAGCACAAAACGGTCAGTGATTGCCCTTCAGTGTTTGTGATCGTTTATCAGTTTCTTCAATCTAAAGTAACCGATGTAATAGTTACTAAATGTCACGTGTAATTTATGTCGTATTTTTTTAATGTTTAGTCTCCTTAAAGGTGTTTGTTAAAAATTATAAAAAATGTTAAAGATAGGTACTTGTATGTTGGTGTTGCTACGTATTTGTCACAAATTGCATTCAGAATGTAGTATTCCATTTGCGATTAAATTATGTACATTTGAAAGTCTTGGAAATTTTCACAAGACAAGTTATTGATCCTACTAAATCTGTACGATATAAGTATTGCTAAAATTGTTCTAATGGTTATTTGTTATTAAGACATGTATTGTAAAAGTTAACTACTCCTGTCAACGCAGCATCTCAAATAAGGACTCATTTGGAGTGTGAGACTTCTTGGCCTTCCGCTAAATTTTTTGACATCTGTTGAAGCTGCTTCTCAACTTTGAACCACCATCTGTAAAACATCACTTCTAAAAAGTCAATTGGAGATGTTGAAGGTTTTTCGTTGCATGTTCTCGAGCTCTAGGAGCACGACATGGTGTTACTTCATGGTTTTGGTTTTTTATATGGGATCCGTTGAAATTGGCAAATAACATTTATGAACGTTTTCGCTATTATGAGCGAAATGGAGCTGCACGAAGCCTATATTCTGGCCGGATTTGCGGTTCAGAGGGAACGAATTGAAGGCCTTGCAGTTTTTAGCGAATTGCTGTTGAGTGCTCTTCATTGCTTACAGAACATAGAGAAATAGAGATTAAGACTTTGGAACAAAGTGATGCGGCTTATTGTAATATGCGAATCGAAATGAGAATCTGTAATTTGCAAAACGGAAATATGCTATTGATTTCCTCAATAGAAATCTGTAAATCTGTGATTTGCGTACGAGAATCCCTGCAGAAAACTCCAAGAGCCAGAAGAATTCGTTTCCACGAAACAATAAAAATCCTAAAATTTCTGATTTTAGTATTTCCAATTTGTCGTAAAAAGGAAAGGAAAGGAAAGGACATTGGAAATAATAAAATCGCGTAGCAAAGTCACTTTGAATAATGGTTACCTCGAGCTTTATACAACACCGGTGCCAAATACAATCCTACGTTCATCAAATTTCCGGTTGCGAAATTCATCAAATTTTAATGCGGCGATTCAAATCTTTCTCTGCCTGCACGAGCCAAATTCCCGTATTTTCCATTCCTATGACAAGTCTCGCCTCATAATCGCTCAATAAATATTTGCATTTGAACGCGATAGTTTTTGTTTACAAGGTTTTCTGCGCGTTCATCTGATAATGAATCTCTGTTTTCTGCCTCGGAACGATATACCACAGAAGGCATTTTATGGACCGCAAGTTTTTTGACTGATTGAAATTAAAAATACGTGGCAATGACTTTCAAAAGTTTTTTGATGGCAGAAAAGTACGTATTTTGTCTCCACTACACAACAAATAACACAGTAGTGTACACCAAATAAGTTTATTTAGGGAAGCCTGCCGAGAACCAACCCGAGGCATATATAGCCCGGGGAATGCATACATACATATATTCGCAACTGATATACCATATACAATCCTGATATACAGTCAATTCCTTACACATTAAAAAAAAGGTATACATTACTAACATGCAAACTTCACCAAGTCTGGATTAACAGAGATGGGCAACCGCTTACAAGGACATAACTACGGTTATACAGAGGCCAGAAAAAACCTGCCAGAAAAAACCCCTTTGGGGGAAAAACATGACAGGAAATCTGGGTAGGAACCATGGCCCAAACTCAGAGCAGTTGGCAGCCCATCCTACGAGGCTTCACAGCTAAAGAAAATATGTTTTCAAACTAAAATAAATTTGTCATCAGCCAGCGGTGAACGGTTGGTTCTGAGGCCTAAATGGACATCACGTGCTATACTTTCCCTTATATACCACTGCATCATTACCCATGATGCTCGGGCCAAAGGCCCAGGCCTTGTCGTATCTCGTGCCGACAAAATATTTATTTCTGCCTTATTCGCAGACTCATTCGTCAGAAATACCATATTTTGTCTCCACTACACAACAAATAACACAGTAGTGTACACCAAATAAGTTTATATAGGGAAGCCTGCCGAGAACCAACCCGAGGCATATATAGACTGACAAAGAATTGGGCAAGACGCACGAGGCTAGGTGATATAATACCACCAAAAACACGAAAACGCCTTCAGAGCCCAAGAAAACGCGATACTTCGAGTCATTGTTCAAAATTATCGTCTACGTATGTGTCTTTGGCTTGTACCGATTTCCAAAAACCATGTCGTTGGAAAACTCTGTCGTTTACTCCATTACTTGCTATCGTAATGGCTCCCCCAGATCTTAGAGAATGCAAACCCAACTTGGACGGTTCAACTCCGAGACTTTGCAGGTTCCAGCGAAAAGCCCCTCTAATTGTAGAGTAACTAATGGGCTTATCAGGGGCAACAAGCTTGCAAGAGCCCTTCCCTTTAGAAACAGGCTTGAAATAAAATCTTTGGAATCAGGGTGTATCTTAAACATAACTAAACACCTCTTAAGCAACTCAACGGGGCATACAGAACTAGACAATTATAAGATAACGACTTCGTCGCCTTTACGGAGCTGGACATTCTTGCTTTTCAAAACCTTAATAATCATGAAGCCTTTTTTAAGGGAAATATCACTTCTTATTCTAGACACATCGTTAAACCACAACAGTCCCATTTGCTTTGGAAGAGAGCACAGTCGTCTTCAGTCGATCTTTCAGTCCCTCAAGCAAGTTATCAAGCGGTCCGTCCCGGAATGCCCTAAATCCCGAATGAAAAATATCTAAACGAGAGATAAAATAAGGCAAAGTGAGGAGTACAATCCAACAAGAATTAACTAAAGAAATAGACAAATAAAAATAGAATAACCGGGAATAATCAAACTCCAACAGAGAATACATAGATAACTGGAATCTGCAAAGTGGACCACAAATGGGTACCTTTAATTTCAAACAATGCTGAATAAATTCTTGACACAAACTCGTGTCATAACGGAATACGCAATATTGACGAGCAATTCTATGATTTAATTCACTTCAAACCTGAGTAAGTGCCAAACAACCCATAAGCTAAGTACAAAGGACTTAGAGCAATTACGCTGGGATTGACTGAAACAAAATCACATTTGCACCCAGAAGAGAAAACTTCCGCGGTGAATACAAAGCCCGCCGGGCTAATTACAACGATCACAGTCTTTACTGAACTTCGTACTGAAGCCTACGCCTACAAATGGGTCCCTTTAATTTCAAACAATGCTGAATAAATTCTTGACACAAACTCGTGTCATAACGCAATACGCAATATTGACGAGTAATTCTATGATTTAAGTCACTTCAAGCCTGAGTAAGTGCCAAACAACCCATAAGCTAAGTACAAAGGACTTAGAGCAATTACGCTGGGATTGACCGAAACAAAATCACATTTGCACCCAGAAGAGAAAACTTCCGCGGTGAATACAAAAAGCCCGCCGGGCTAATTACAACGATCACAGTCTATACTGAACTTCGTACAGAAGCCTACGCAAGCACAGGGAGATCTGGGGCGGCGAAATCAATTCGAAGGGCTATAGCATCAAAGTCCAGGGGTCTGGAACCGAAAAGCGAGTTTCGGGCTTTCCCTCTGATAAAGAGACCTGGGAACTTGGGTAAAAACACCCAGTCAATTACGAAACTGTTCCGTTGCACACCGTCTCTACAAAATAAAGTCCATAAGCAAGAGGACTTCCACAAGGAGAGGATAACCGCTCCTCTCGCCTTACACAATTCCATGTGCTTTACCACTCTAATTAATAGGCACACTGGAGGACAAATCCAATCATTATCGTGCCCCCAATCCTGGGAGAAGGCATCTACTACTACACAGCCAGTCTCAAAAAATCTCAGTGTTAAAGCTTGGTACCTTAGCGTTATAGGAACAAGCAAATCTGTCAACGGTGTGGGACCCCCAAAATAGGTTAATTCTTTGAAAGATAGCTTCGTTAATGGTATAGTCATCATAATCGGTTAAATTGCTTATTGCATCAGCCTTAGCGTTAAGCTCCCAAGGGATCCACTTAACCTCAAGTGATATGTGAAACTCAAGACATATTTGGATAACTAGGAGGGCCAATTGGTGCATGTCAGCTACCCTACTACTGTTTTGAAGAATAGATTCGACGTTCTGGTTATCAGAATACCAAATAACCTTAACGCCAGAAAGATGACTCGCGAAAGCTTCCAAGGCGAGGGAAACAGCTTTGAGTTCTCTCCATGTAGAACTTTAGGCACGCACTACAGGAGACCAGTTCTGATTAAATACTAAATTTGAGTCTTTTAAGAAAGCACCACAAGCCGAATTGGGGGCATCTGAAAAGGTGACCCTGACCGGATGGGACTGGACCGACGAACAAACCTTGCTATTGAAGAATACCAAGTTGTTCTTCCAGAAACTAATTTCTGAAAGAGAGTCGTCTGAGAGAAAAACTTCGCTTTCCCAAGAGCGCGCCGAATTCACGACCAAGAAAAGAAATCTAGTCATAATACGGGCGAAGGAACCCACACAGGGAGAGAGGGAAATTATTTGACCCGTTACAATGGCGACTCCCTTCACGTGCACTTTCCAGGGAGGTTGACAAGACAGTAGCTCAACAAGGCCAGCGTTTAACTTTTCAATACGTTCGTCGGTTGCTTGTATAGTCCCATCAATAGTGTCGAGAATCACACCCAACCAGGTGATAACTAGGAGAGGCTCCCAAA